CTCAAATAAATATTTTAAATATTAAACTTTTAAAAATTATAAAAAATTTATTAAATTTTATTGAACCGTTATAATATAACATTTAAATTTTATCAAACTGTTATAAAATGACCATTGAATTTTTATGCTTATTATAATATTAAAATCACTATTTCCTAATTTTTTAATAAATTAAATAATAATTTTATATTTTTCAAAAATTTAATGATCAAAATAATCATTTAAAATATAATTCAATAATCCGTAATATATTTTCCTGTCAAATCACAACGAATTCATTAATTTAATAATCTTTAATGTACTTCTCCTATCTAAATCACGACGAATTTATTAGTTTCCTATTTAGTTTTATTCACAATTTAACCTCCTAAATTATATTCATGTTAACACTTTAATATAAAAAAAATTAGTGTCTCATTTTGATAAATTAGAACATAATTCCATCAAAATCTATCTTAAAAGTTAACGGATTAATCAAGGCCAAATCTTGAAATTCGCCTTACAACCGGGAAGGCAACCAAACAAAATAATAATGTCAGTATCACTTGTGTTTATCTATACCATCTGTCACACGCCACGTTATGAGTTCCTCTAATTCTTTTAACTCCCTTGACTTTTTGGGTAAAGTGAGACAAATTGATACTTTAGGTACCAAAATGGGTAAAAAAAAAGGTTTTGATGGGGCAAATTTGTAAAGTCCAAGAGGATGGATCCATCTTAACAAAGTTTTGACAAATGACATGCAGGAAGCTTAATTCTTAGAAAATCTGATAATTAAAAGTTGGATTTCTTTGCAATTGAATAAGCAACGTGATCTTTGGGAGTTTAGGTTGGATACTCTTAGCAAAAATGGAATAAAGAAGAAAGAAAACAAGTCCCATGGCAGTGCTGAAAGGAAAGAATTATTAGTGTAGATATGTAAACCCAATAGGTCGATGACAATAGGAATGAAAACAAAAATCATGCTGCAAATGATCCTAAATTCAGCTCAACCATCACCATAAATAAATGAGTGATGTAAATACCCCATATCATGGCATCCCACAACTATCCGGATGCACATTAGTGTCAGATACATACCCTTATCTATCATGAGTACACAAGTAACATATCTACTACCATCACCATACATACTGCCAATGATTCTACATTCAGCTCAATCGTCACCATACATAAATATAAATACCCCATATCATGGCATCATACATATATCTGGACATATGCATGCGGATAAATGAAAAGGCTTCAAAATAATGGAACACGTTAGTGTCAGTTACATACCCATATCTATCATGAGTACAAGTAACATATCTGCTTACCATCACCATAATGCCAATTATTCTACAGTCAGCTCACTCGTCAGCAAACATCAATATAAATACCCCATATCATGGCATCGTACAAATATCCCAACATATGCATTCAAATAAATGAAATGGCTTCAAAATAATGGAACATATTAGTGTCGGATACATACGTGTATCTATAACCTATCACCGCACTTTGAGTACAAGTAACAAAGCTATTACCAATGTGAAGAAAGCTATAAGCATGAATGAACCCTCAAGAAAGTTGAAGCAGATTTAATATATGGAGAAGATTTGATTGCAACCTGACAGGACAAACAACACAACGGAACTATCCATCCAACACCATTTAAGGCGCCACACAATTTACCTTTGAATTAAATCGTTCCATCAGAGGATTCATCTAACTTTATATGCTAAACAAGAAGCAAAAACCTCTTTTCTTTTCCATGTTTTGGAATGATATTTTACTTCACGACTCAACTAACAGATTACTTATGGGAATACAACTCAAATTCAGAAACAACACAATTCTGTTCGAAAATCCATTACAACAAAGTAATAAAGCATATTAGTAGAAGTTCACTATTGAAATTACATATTCACCAGATTTCTAGGTTAAACATGTACTATTCAATTCTGTTCTAGTAAAGAAGAAATAATATAATGAGGGAAGAAAATACCAAGAGATCACCTTCAACAAGGTACAATGGACACCATCAATTCATCCATGAGGATGTAATCTACACATTAAAATTTCCTTAAAAACCAACTTATTCAAAGTAGACATCCCTTACTAACCACTGCTGAAGCCACATCCGCAGCTCTAAACTTCATCACCTCTTGATTAATCAATCACGTCACATTAATTTCGACCAAGTGGGAGTGATCTACGTGTAAAAGTTTCCTTAAAATCTGACTTCTTCGAAGAAGTAAATATGGAAGCATAACTTCCTTAGTTGTGTTTTCCGGCGCCACATCCATAACTCTAAACTTCTTCACCCCACCATTACTTGATTTTTTTCCGTTCTCAAGTTTTTCATTCCCTTCCAATTTACCACAATCCTTCTTCCCATCCACAACATCAATTCCCCTTTTCTTCTTCTCCTTCATTGTTTTCGATTTCTCTTCCTCCATCCTCTCCTTCAAGGCTGACACCTCCTCCTCACTTCCATTAATAATTATCTTATCAAACTCCACAAATTCCTTATGACAAACCAAACAAGCTGAAGACTTAACCTCCTTCAAAGCCTTAGCACTAACAACATGACCGCAATTCCTCAAAGCAAAAAACTTATACTTCTCGTTGAATTCAAGCCCGGTAATTGGACACTGAAACGTGGCACCATCAGCAGCCTCTGATTCCTTCCCGGGAATCATCGACAACTTAATGTTAATCATATCTTTCAAACCCCTTATATGTCTAAACTCTTTGGGCAACTTCTTACCCAACAAAGCTTCAACAAGAGATTCCTTATTGAAAATATTCCCTAATTTATCAATCACGCAAGGCTCTCTTAAAGGTTCATAAGATAAAGCACAATTGAGCGACTTACGAAGCCTTTTCTCATTAGGGTCGATTTAATCGGGCTTTTTATCGGAATACATCTTGAGATAGCAATCTCGGGACTCAGCTCCAGTGGCGCCACCATCGCCTCCGCCTCCAGAGATGCGGGGGAGGAGAAAAAGGGTGGAAAGATGGGTAATTTGGGGATTCGGGAGAAGGTTAGAATCGGGGAGGGGCTTTCCATTGAGGGCGAAGTAGAAGGAGGAGAAGGATCGCAGATTCGGAAGGAGAAAGGATTTGAGGTGGCGAAGGGTTAGGGATTGGGTGGGTTCTAGGGATACGGTTAGGGTCTGCCAAGTCGGGGATCGAACAAAAAATTGAAGTTGCATTTTTCGCGGATTCTTTTTTTTTTTTTTTTTTTTTTTTTTGAGGGAAACGAGAATCGATTAGATAAATTGGTCTGGTGGCGGTAACGTGAAAATCACTTGGAATAGCGATTCGTGATTTCTCTCACTGAATTGTCCACGAAATAGGAATTAGAGAAATATAAGATATGGTAAATACATCATTAATCACTAAATTATAACTACTTTTTTATTTTAATCATTAAACTATTTTACTTTTACAAAATCATCTCTAATAAGGTCATAATAAATTAAGCATTTGGAGGGGGAGATGACTCAAACTCAAGACCCTTTGCAAAGGGGTAATGTGCTTAACCATTGAACAAAGTTAAGAATATGTTAGTCTTTTATCAACTTAAGTTGAACTGGACTTACGCCCAATAGTGGGAACCATAGCCTAGATTAAAATCATCCCAATTAGAAAAAAATAATGGTAAATTACACCATTATCTCTAACATTTAGGCTGTACATCAGTATTGGCATTGAACTTTAAAATCCTTCAAATTTGTAATTAAATTTTAATTCGTATTTCAATCAGGACATTGGGATGTTAAATTGTCAATGACATGATGATATGGTTGTTTCTTCCTTATTCTTTTACAAAAAAATGTCAACTCTTCCAATTGCCATTGTCACCAATAGTCATTCATTATAAGATCAATAATAAAACATTCACATTTCACTCACCTTTCTTCTTTTTAGATTGTTTTTCAATGATACTCGCTCAAAATCGGGGGGGGGGGGAATCATTTAAAATTTCAATCTAATGCTCTAATCTCCAACGGTTTGCCCAATGAAGCTAGCTTCTAGGTTTTTTTGTATATTCTCGAAAGAATGTTTTTCATTGTTCAGATTTTCAAACATACACACCAAACTTCTCAAATCTGAGAAAGACCCAAACCCCAAATGATTTTGGGTGTTTATTTTCATGAGTTTTGAAGTGTTTTTAAAAAATATAAACTAATAAAGTAATAAAAGACAATGAGACAAGTTTATCAGTGTCTAAGGCAAGAGCAAAGGATGACAATTTCTAACGAAGATTAAAAATGGATGAAAAAACACTAATTTTGATAAAGATGACAATGAAACGGAATAGAAAATTAACTTTTTTTACTTCCACATCAACACATGCTAACTTCCACGCCAGTATCAAACTACCACATCATCTAAATGTTAATGATTTAACAACCCAATATCGTAATTAAAATATAAATTAAAGTTCAATACTAAAACTAAAACATTTTAAAATTCAATACTAAAATCAACACACAACCTAAAGTTTAGTAATACTAAAATCATCACACAGCCTAAAGTTTAGTAATACTAAAATCATCCCACAACCTAAAGTTTAGTCACTAATATGATGTAGTTTACCCACAAAAATAAACATTGATCATCTCATTATCATCTATCAAAATTGGTAATGCATGTTTCTGTTGTAAAAAGAAACATAAGAAATAAAATTGGGGAGGGGAGAAAGATTTCACCTGTGAGACTATATTTCTGCTTATGCCGATGGAACGTTCTTCACTACTATAGAACATTCAACCTTCTTTTTGCTTTGTTCTGGCGCATCTCGACAAAGTTAAGCACCGATTAAGAAGTAAAGATTTCGAATAAAGTGAATCCAAACTTAATCCAGTTATTTCATTCAAATTTGGAATTCAAAATCTAATATCAGCAGCACCTCGTTTTCTCCACATTCTCCTTGTAATACTCCATAACACCTAATGATGATACGTTACTTTACATCAACTGCACCTGTTGCAGCAATCTTCGATACCATATCAATAAGCACTGTGCCATAAAGAATAATACATAACATCGAAATCTACGTTAAATCAACGAGCCAGCTGAAGTTCACTGTTTTCCTTCTAGGTGTTGCATGAATTGAAAACTCGAGACTAACCCAGGCATGATAATCAACCCAACCTTGCTTCTCTTTGCAATACCTGGTTATTGGAATAATGGAGCAGAGTTGAATCAGACATGCATATTGGGCAAAATGCAAGAATCCTTTTCCAGGGAAACAACATAAAAATTGCTAGTTTCTGATGTTGGAGACACTTTCTTCAGTTATAAATATGCATGTTATCCACATTACGACAATTCAATATGCTATGCAGTGGTGGATCCTAGAACTCGACTTTGGGAGGGGGGAACTAGATATTTTCTTGGTCTTATATATATTATAACATAAAACTTAGATGGTAAGTTTTGTCATGGTGTTCTTCAATATATAGATGCATATAAATATATATTATAACGCCAAAGTCTTTCTTTTAAATACAATGTTTAAACTAACCAGGCCCTCCCTAACCCCATCAACTAGAGGATACCGCGTGCTTTAAGCAAGCTCAAACCCACATCCTCTAGTATATTACAACAACATCAGTGCCAACCAGGCTATGACTCAGTCAGCAATGCAAAAGTTTTTAAAAGAAAAAGACACTTGCATGACCAACAGGTAACATCTTGGATATATTGAAATAAGTGTTGAAAACCAAGCTCTAAACTATTACTTATTTTCTCTTTATTTTTTTAAACATCTGAAGCACCTCTCTTCTATTGGCACTACTTTGATCGGCTACCAGTAGTTCACTAGTTCATGATTATTTTGTGGCTAAGCCAGCAGTCCATTAGTTAGATCTAAAATAGTGAACCTGCTTCTTTTGATCCTGTAGACATTTAACTGTACGAGCGAACCAACCTTATATACTACCCCCACTCATAAGCAAACTAAGGAGAAAAATAAGCTAGATATATTGAATGGATCACAAAGACTAAATACATTTTATTAAAGGGCACAGATACACTTGAGCATACCAGACTTTAGTTGATGATGGAATAGTAGATGCAAGAGAATTTAGAGAAGCACCTACCTCTTCAGCAAACTTTATCAAAATAGTTGTCCGAGGTCTTTGCTGTCCCTCTACAGGTACAAAATGAGCTGTTACAACTGCTGGAAATCCTGCATTATCCAAAACACCCTTCCAAGTTCCAACCAACAAAAAAAGTCTATAAGATCTCCCTTCCACCGGATGATCAATCATTTTATAAAAAAAAATGAATGCAGAACTTACTCTCACTATTCCAGAAACAAATGCCCCACAATGAAATGTTCCCATGTCTTTCGGAATTGAAATAAACCTACAATGCAAATAGACTGCTTGATTATTAATCTAGAACCACAGATCTAGTGAGGAGAAACAATGCTGTTATAAGTGATAAGCTCAGGGTGAGGGAAATGCATAACTTGTTCACAAGGAGTTCCTTCTCACTGATCATGTATTCATCTTCATGTTCAGTGCCTTTCTCTAGTGAGTCAGCCACCTAACATAGTACAACAAGGATCTGGTAAGAGAAGTACTAAATTGGAGACTATTCTTAAGCTGAAGATGCTAGAAGGATAGATTTTTCATGTCTATGGGCCTATAGGAAATAAATATACAAATTGCATTTGAAAATATCGTCAAACTTTCAATTGCAGGACCAAAAAAAGACAATACTGCAGTGTCACCTTCCCAAACAACACCTTCCACACAGTGCTGTGCACGAAAGATAATATACCCAACAATCGAGTCTCCCTTCTATTTCCCTACGCAATAGGAAAAACATATGTTTAGTATTGGCAATTTGGCATTGACATGGAAGATTACCCATGTTCATACAAATAAGCACATCTTTGCAAAACACATTTTAAAACCAAGATGCACAAAATGAGGGCAAATCTAAACAAAAAAACCACCAGCAGATATTTGCATTTATGATGTCAGTGAGAAACTTATGCTAGCAAGATATTTGCATTTGGCTAGAAAAACTCGAATCCAGCTTGAGCAAGTTAAGCTACCGGCAAGCCAAATTCAAGCATCCTCATACCAAGATTAAGAAGTTCACAAGCCTAATTGATATTTTTTTTAATTAGTATTAAAAATCTTCAATTTAGACTCAAACTTGGGTTCAAGCACAAATAATCCAATCCTGAAATTGGACATAGGATATGAGCCCCTTTCACTAAGTAAACTAGCCTATTTGAGTGAGCTTGAGCAGATTGATCTTTTCTTGATTCAAGCTTAAACATTAAAAGGTAACTCGATCAAGATTGAACAGGGACATCAAGCCTCGAGCTCGAGCTGCTTGAAATTTGGGATCAGCTCAGCTCAATTATGCCAATAGTTGGCATCACATCGAAACTTTTTCATTGAATTGGTATAATTCAAACTCTGCTATAAGAAGGTAGATGCCGGCTTCTAAGAAATAACTTAAGAATGCTAATGAAGATTGGAGTCTAAAGGGTAGTGTATGGATGTGTTATACCTTCTCCCTATGGCATAAAAGATCAAGAACTCGAGCACCGACTGCATACCCTGCATCCTCCAGCCTGAATCATTGCCATAAACAATATTAGATTCTTTCACAATAGATGGGAAAACCAATGAATCGATTTTTTTACCTTGTTTCTAATTCAGAAATATGATCAACCTGTGTCTGATTGTACTGAACAAGCTCCGAAAACAAGAATGCAAATGCACTTAAGCTAACCTGCAATAGAAGCACAACAGTCAACAGCATTGAATCCAGGTAAATTCCAATTAAATCTACGTTAATTTGAGTTCTTCACGTTTATGTAGTTTGCCTCATTTCTGAAGTAATTAGAAGTTCAACGGATTATGTTATGATATTTAGATTTTTTTCCGACTGGATCATAATTTCTCAGTTAATTTCATGGAAAATGCAAACAATTCAACGAAAATAACAGTTGAAAAGAGATTATATCTCAAATATTACAGCCAAAAAAGGGGAAATACCGAAAAGATCTGGAACTCAACTTACTTGTTAAGAACACGAAAATACAATTTAAATAGAATAGTAGAAAAAGGTCAGCACCATAAATCTCGAGTTTAAAACTTTATATGATTGTTTAATACATTTCGGACAGGTATAAGCATTATTGGGGGGGGGGAATAACAGAGCGAGAGAAAGTGAGGAAACCTCTTGTTTGCCCTTGCCGAGGGGCTTATCGAGGACGTTGGCATTCTGCTTGATCTTCCCGGCACCGACCATGTTTCCACTGGAAATACAAAATTTGTCTTCTGTTTGGATGCTAAGAAAACTACAGGGGGGAAAATAAATCAACTATGAGCTATGGGAACATCGAACAGGAATGAGTGCAGCAATTTTGAACCGCCGGTCTAATTGGTTTCTCTCCTAATTGATATTAGGATAAACTACACTGATGATCCTTTTTCTTTTCAATATATCTTATTTTAGTCAATAACTTTAAAAATTTATGTTCTATCACATCATCATTGAAAACTGATATATCAGTGTCGTAATGATCAACGTTCGGCTTCGTCGCACAAAAAGTTAAATTATTTTTTTAATTTAAAGATCACATTTAGTGTAAAAAATTCAAGATCACATTATTTTTTTTTCAAAAACTTGAGAGACTCGAATACCAGTAAACCAATTTTGTAATTATTTTTTTATATTTTTTATAATTTATCATATTATGTTTAACAATAAATCTAATTTCACTATGTACTTTAAAATTAAAAATGTATAAATACTTCAGTAAAGGTGGAATTATGAAATTTATAATGAATATTTTATTGTGGTAAAAAGAGAGAAAATAATTGATAAGTTTTATATTATATAAGGTTCAACAATTTCATGCAATAAAGTTATTGTTCTCTCATTTGTGTCAAACGACGATTTTACTAGTGAAAGTATTTTAATTGAATCAAGTAAAAAAAAGTTGTGTTAATCAAGATAAACGTGAGTATAACAATTCTAAAATATAAAATAGAGTTCAACTTTATGAAGATAACGAATTTAAGAAACAAAAGAAAATTCAAATTGACATATGAATTAATAATACCAAGGGTAATTAAAATTGTTTCTTCATAATTTTCTAATGCTGAAGGCGGACGTGAAAAATAAACTAAACCTATTAAGTAAGAGGATAATTCATTATTTATAATTAAAGATGAAACTATCATTGGTACTAAAATTGATTCTTAACCTTATTGTTACAAATACTAAATTACTTCGTACATTTAATTATGAACATGATTTGGATTCGATTGATATTTCATTATTGATTAATACACTTTTTAGGGGTTTCATGAAAAATGTAAAGAACAAATTCGTTAAGGTGAATAATTATATCTTTGTTGAGTTTCGATCTTTCGTTGATTTGAGATTTTTTTGTCTTGAACTCGTTGCACTTTCAGAATCCATGCAAAAAAAGAGATTGTTATTGTTTTTATTAGAGTATCGTGACTTAAATTCTATTTGGATTCGTACATGATTATACTTCTGTTGTTGGATTCATACATGATTATACTTATGTTGTTAGACTTTGATTAAAAGTAAAAAATTTAGTTTGGGTAAGTTTTTCATGCAAATTTCTTTTATAATTATCAATATAAATAGACATGAAGAAATATGGTTAAAAGTTAAGTAAAGTTGTTCAAAGTTTTAAACTCTCTTATAATTTTCTTTTTCGACATTAATGACACTTTTCTTCCTTTTTCTTTGATTTTTTATGTTTAAAGTATCCTATACAGAATTTTGGCGTTTCGTTCTTTTTTCTATTTTTTACATTGTAATCACTTATACTTTATACAAATACTATTTTATTTTCATGCACCACTAAATCAATCACATACTGACATGTATTACTACAATATATTGACATATGCCACTAATGGAATTTATCCTAAAGGGACTAAAACGGAAGCAAGTTATAACTTTAGTGGCCATTTGATAAACCTTGTAATTTGGTAACTGTTGAAAACATTTTGATGTTTTGATATAACAAATGAATTTTAAGATTTTACAAATGATTTTCTAAGTATATTCGATATAATTATTCGAATATCAAAATATTACTCCAAGTCTTTCAAAGTTTATTTTAATCCTTACTAAAGTGTAAAATTATGTTTTATACTTAAACTATTTTAAAACAATTTTACAAAGTATTTTGAGCCTTAATCGAGCCAAAAATATTTTCTTTTTAAAGGATTTCAAGAAAAATCAGATTGTCCAGTGGGTACCGATTCCCCACTGTCTAACGGTCAAAAACATATTGCAATTAGGGAACCGATTCCCCATGAGGGGGTATCGATTCCCCCACGCTCCAAGCTATTTTATTAATTGTTTCTCATCCCCAAACGGCTTCAAAACATCCCCAACGACTATATACGACTTCAAACACATTCCAAGCTATAAATACAAGCTAAAGACACTTGAAGAAACAAGAGAACAACTATCCAAGCAATCAAACACTTTTTCATTCTTATTTCATCTTTCTCTTGTAAATATTTTGTTATTGTGAGCTCAATCTTGTAAACACTAGGGCTGAGCAACGAAACCGAGAAAACCGAAAAAACAACACGAACCGAGTAAAACGGTTTGGTTCGATTCGGTTTGGCTTTAAACGGTTTGGTTTTCGGTTCGATTTAAAGGCTTCATTTTTTTGATTCGGTTCGGTTCGGGTTTTCCATATGGAACCCATTTGTTCCATATTGAACCGAATAGGCAATTTTTGTAAAAAAAAAAATTATAATTTCAAGTGATTTTTTTATTGAAAAACCGATAAACCGAACCGAACCGAATCGAAAAACCTGAACCGTTAAAAAAACCGAACCGAACCGAAAAAACCGGTTTCGGTTTTTTCGGTTTTTTAACTATTCAGTTTCGGTTTAAATATTGAAAACCCGTTTATTTCGGTTCGGTTCAATTTTTGGTAAAAAATCGAACCGAACCGAATACACCCCTAGTAAACACATACCTTAGAGAGATTTTTTTGTTTACTTATTTTATCCTTTTGTAAAGGGGAAATGTTATAGTTTAGCCCGGAAAAACTAGGGAGTTGTAAGGTTATCTTTTTGTCCTCAAAAGAAAGAACAAATTAGTGAATTTATTGGAAAATCCTTGGTGAGGAGCTAAGATAGTGGATGTAGACTTTGGTTAAGAAATTCGAACCACTCTAAATCGCTGTGCAATTTTCTATCTTTCAATCTCCTTACTCCCTAAACACAAAATCGTTCCAACCCCTCTTTGCAAACCATTCCGATTGTCGATTCGAGCTTCCAAAAATCCTAACAATTGGTATCAGAGCCTAACTCGTTAAAAAGGTTTAACCACCTTGAGACGGTCCTAGAAGAAGCTCTACTAATTTCCTACACAATCGAGAAGATGGCTTCCACCTCCGGCTCGTTCCACATGGAAGACTCCCTACCAACCGACAAACCTCCATACTTCAATGAAGTCAACTATCATCATTGGAAGAAATTAATGAAGGTATTCATCCAATCCAATGATCTTGATGTATGGAGATAATCGAGAATGGCTACTCTTCTCCAAAGAAGAAGGAGAAGAAGCGAAGTGACAAAGAACGGAAGGAAACTCAACTTAATGCCAAGGTCATGCACATGTTGTTTTGTGCATTTGGTCTTGAAATCTATAAAGGGATTTCTTCATGTTCAAGCGCCAAAGAGCTTTGGAATAAGTTCGAGGAAATCCATGGAAACAAGAAATAAGAACCAACAAAGGTGGTGTCTCTAATGGCTTATGAAGAGTCCAATGTATCTTCTAACTCAAATGAATTTAATTCATATACGTTTGATGAGTTACAAGATGCTTTTAATATGTTATATTCGGAGTTTGAGACCATGAACTCCAAATATAAGAAAATGATTTCAAAATTTAAAATTGAAAACGATTTTCTTTTGAAAACAAAAATAGATTTTGAAAGCCAAAATGAAATTTTGAAAAAGGATTTAGAGCTTTCAAAAATAAAAATTGATAGTTTTGAAAAACAAAATTTTAATTTAAAAGTTAAGCTTGAATGCTTAACAAAAGAAAAATAAATCATTTTAAATAATTCATTTAGTTCAATAATGACAATATGGTCACATTGTCATTATCATGGTCATTTGGAACATACTTGTCCTTTGAAGAAAATAAAACGTTTTAAAATTAGGCAAGTATGGGTTCCGAAAGGAACAAGGGGCATTAAAACTAACTTCCAAGGATCCAAAGCAATTTGGATACCAAAATCTACTTAAATGTCTCTTGTAGGTGCGTGGGAGCAATGGTGATGAGAGTGATGATATTCAAGATGCTCTAGCCACAAATGAAAAAGGAATGAGTAACCTCTAAGCTTAATGCTTTTAATTTTGGTTATTTGGTTGCTCATTTGATTTTAAGCATGCATGAGTTTTGTTTTTAAATGATTATGCATCATTTTTTTAATCTCATGTATGTTGAAAAGATGATTATGATGAACATTTTAAAGTTATATTAATTTTTAGTTCATCATAATAAAATTTTGGTCAAAAATGGTTTTAATGCAATTGATATCTCTCTAACAATTGATATCAATTTTTCAAATACTTTGATTTTACAAATTTTAAAATTTTTGACCTAAATTTGAATGTTTATGCATGTGGTTTAAATGAAAATGATATCTCTCTAAAAATTGATATCATAATTTTCAAATGTATAACAGTTTTGGAAAACTTTATGCATATGCACTTAATTTTACAATTGGTATTGATATCAAATTTCAACAATTGATATTGCATAAAGTATTTTAGTCTTGGATATATTGAATTTCATGTGCTACTAACATGTTTGTTATTCTTTGTTGAAATTCAATTTTGTTTAAGTGTCTTGTTCTTAAAGCTAAATTTTATTTGGAATTCATTTATTGAGGGGGAGCTTTAATTTTTTCAAATGATTTTTAAAATGTCAAATTTACTACTTACTCTCCAAAGTTATTTTGAACTTTAAAAGATTAGAGTCTTTTTGATTTAACAAAAAGGGGAGAAGTGTTCAGGTGTTTTAAAGGGGAGAAGTGTTAAAGTAAGAGGGAGTAATTTCAAACTTGAATTCAAAATCTTAAAATTACTCAAATGTTTTGTTATATCAAAAAGGGGGATTGTTGAAAACATTTTGATGTTTCGATATAACAAATGAATTTTAAGATTTTGCAAATGATTTTCTAAGTATATTTGATATAATTATTCGAATATCAAAATATTACTACAAGTCTTTCAAAGTTCATTTTAATCCTTACTAAAGTGTAAAATTGTGTTTTATACTTAAACTATTTTAAAACAATTTTACAAAGTATT